ATTCCCGAGTCCTCCAATTGCAGCTGCCGGATGACCTTGGGCAAGCCATAGTTCTGTCAGAGCTGTTCTTGAAAAAGAGCCGTTTCTGTCAGAGCTCTTTCAGTCCCACCTACCTCACAGGGTGTCTGTTGTGGGGAGGGGAGGGAGTTTGTAAGCTGCTCTGAGACTCCAAGTGAAGGGTGGGGTATAAATCCAATTTCTTCTTCTTCTTTACTATTGTTAGATCCAGTGTGGTATAAAGTGCTGGACTAGAACTGGAGAGAGCAGCAGGATAAAAATTAATAAATAAAATTAAATAAATCTGACATGAAATAAAAATGCTAAACAGTGGATCTTTTGGGAAAATACGGACTTCTACGAGGATTGTACAGTCAAGAAGGTCTTGTTAAATCCTAGTTTGCACTTCAGGGTTTGTTTGTTTTTTAAATTAACATTTCATCTGAAAAGTCAAATGTATGTTTGTATGTATTTATTAATTATTTTATTTATTTATCTATTAATTAGATTTTTATCCCGCCCTCCCGCCGCAAACTGCACCTCAGGTTATCCTGCCCTCCCCGCAAACTGCACCTCAGGTTAATTTTTTTAAAAAAATGCAATGATTATTAAATATGCAGCAGAAAGGTAAAACTGTATTCAAGAAGAAAACAGAATTCAAAAGATGAAGAGGCCTGGAAGGACATTTTCATACACGAGGCATGTTCAATTCAGCCTGAAGCACAAACAGAAAACCTACACTGGCTTTTAAAACAGTATTTAAACAAACAAATGAAGAAACCTGGCTAGACTGTACATTCAGTCTGTTTTTCCTCGACAAGTGACACAAATGGTGCACGAGAGGTTCCAACACAGTCTAATTTGTGTGTGGCCAGCCATTCTAGTGTAAGCGCTTGCTGAAAAGAATTCAAAGCAAACTCACCTGCGAGATCTTCTGCAGGAAGCTGTTGGGGTAAAAGAACGTCTTCCTCTGTGTCTATAATGAAGATATCCTTCTCAGCTCCCAGAACATCATCTTTTTAAAAAGTATCAGTTGCATTACAGTTAAGGCCCTTTGTAATCCCCTTTTTTGAGCACATTAAAATGTAATATAATCCAAGTAGTTGAAGTAATACAGGCTTCAAGAAAAATGACCAAGCCTTGCCACAGCACTGCAGCCTCAAGTCATAACCAGGGGTCATTTCATAGAAAAAGAGGTGCAGGGGCTCATTGGCATAGCTCATTAGCATAACTCATTTGCATGTGCCACACCCCCTGACCTCACCGGACGTGTGTCAGAAGGCAACACCCAACGCTCAGGCTCCACTGGACTGTTTTGGATTGCTAGCTATGGGGGGGGGGGGAACGTGCAAATCTGCCCTCACAGAGGAGGGAGAGCTGGTACCTGAATAAAACTTGGTCTTAAAGGTGCCACTGGACTGTTTTGGATTGCAAGCAACTTACCTGGCTGCTTGCTCCTTGTGGCCCGGGGCTGCTGGGAGCAGGGGGTGGGGCTTGTTGCATGTGCGGGCTTGTTGCATTTGCCCGCCCCCTGGGCTCTTTACTGCCGGAGCTCTGCTCCTGTGCGCTCCTGCAGGAAATGTCCCCTGGTCATAACTAAAATGTATCAGAAGAACCCAATACAGGGGTCCCCAACGTGATGCCCATGGGCACCACGGTACCCGCCATTACCTTTCCTGGAGTCTGGCATGTGTTTTCAGAAAGTGGGTGGGGCCGGGTAGGGCTTTTTTCCAACAAGGCTTTTGATTGGCTGTGCTGCCACCACAGCACAAGGATCTTTCACCGGGTGACTGAAGATAAGCTGTGGCAGCCGTTTTGTGGCTGGCTCCACCTCCTGTGGCAGCTATTTTGTGGCGCCAGTTCTGTGGCTGTGCACACCACCGTGACAAAAATTCTAAAGGTGCTGTCGTAGCCCAGCTGGTCTCACAGGCTCCAAGTCCAGGTCACGCAGGCAGGAGCAGGTCAAAGGAGTGTTCACAGCAGGGCTTTTTTTGTAGAAAAAGCCCAGCAGGAACTCATTAGCATAATAGGCCACACCCAACAGCAGAAACTCATTAGCATACTAGGCTACACCCCCACAGCACAGCACATTAGCATATTAGGCCACACGCCCATGCCTCCCCTTGGTTTGCCTGGGTGCTGCGCAGTTGCGGGGAGCCCGGGCAAGCTGGCCCTTGGACAGGCCAGGGGAGGCAAAGGGAGACATTTAAATGCCTCCCCGATACTTCCAGAGCCCCACCTGGCCTGCCCACCTCGGAGTTACTGGGGGGGTCGCTCTCCAGGCCTTCCCTCTGTAGCCACGCACTCAGAGATTTTGGCTGTAGTGGGCGTGGCCAACTCTGAAGCCAGCTGGAACTCCATTCCTATGCGTTCCTGCCCAAAAATAGCCCTGGTTCACAGGATAGTCCAAACAGTCCAGGGTCAGTTGTTACAGTCAGAGAGAGTCCAAAAGAAGAAGAAGAAGAAGAGAAGATTGGATTTCTACCCCGCCCTTCACTACCCAAAGGTGTTTCAGAGCGGCTTACAAACTCCTTTCCCTTCCCCTCCCCACAGCAGACACCCTGTGAGGTAGGTGGGGCTGAGAGAGCTCTGACAGAAACGGCTCTTTTTTCAAGGACAGCTCTTATCAGAACTATGGCTTGCCCAAGGTCATCCAGCCAGGTGCAAGTGGAGGAGTGGGGAATCAAACCCGGTTCTCCCAGAGTAGAGTCTGTGCACTTAACCACGACACCAAACTGGCTCTCAAAAAAAGCAGAGTCAAGCTGGTCCAAGAGTCACAGGAGCAGAGTCAGGAGTTGTGGTCGCAGAATTCACCGTGAGGTGACGTGTTGCTTCCACAAAGTGGCCACAGCTCACACCCAGCTTATGTCGCTTTTCCCTGATTGATCTTATCTGCAGCTGGCAAGTTAGCAGGGCTCCTGTAATGACTCATCTTGCAGCAGTCGACGGGCCATTAAACATTTGCTCTGTCTGCATTCTTGTAGTTGCCTTCTGATCTTAGCTCTTCATCTTTCTATGGGGGGGGAGATCTGGGGGAGTCGTGGGTGCCTCCTTATCAGGCATCCCTGGGATTTCAAAGGATGTTGTGGCTTTCAGCTGGCAGGCAGATGAGCCACGATAGGAAAGCAACAGTAAGTTAGAGGAATAGCACCGCAGAGCCCCAGGGTGTCCAGCCCAGGTTTCAGGTATGCCAATGGCATTAATACAAAAATAAACGTATCTTTAAAATGCAAAGCAATTGAGTAAATCGTTTTGACTGTGGTTAAGAGGCTAGACATATGCATTTTTAAAAGCACACCTCATGCCATTATGATTAATTATTTAGAAGGAATCCCGTAGCGATTTCAGTCCTACAAAATTTAAAACACCTCCTGAGCAACCAATCAAAAAAAAAAAGGCTGTGATAAGGACAATAAAATTATTATGTTTTTTTTTTGTATAAAGATTTTATTGACTCCCCTAAAAAGGGGAGGTTTTATGAGTTCAGTAAATACGGATTTTGGGGGGAAAGTATGCAAGAAGCAGAGATGATTTAAAAAACCCTGGGATGCAAGCACAATATGCAAAGAGCTACACAACACATTTTGTAAGTTTGCAGGCTCAAATGTTCCTCCTCTCTTTTACTGTTAACAAATTCTTGGTTTATCCATCACCTCCCACTGACTCCAGTTTTGTAACCCATAATGATGAATTTGCATCACTGGAAACATAAAATGCATCTTTTAAAACTTAGCTTATAAATTGAGCTATGTGGCACAGTTATGAAATTTAAAACTATAAATGCTTTATTTTTCTATAAGCAAACTTGCAAATGTACCCAACACTTGGGGGATAGGGGTGGGTGGGAAGAGAAGGTGCTACAAACTGATGCACACTGTGGTAATTAAACATATTTTAGCTTTTGCTAGCTGTAGAAACGAGGTTAGCAGGTGTCCTCATTTTAAACAACATAGTTTTTGTGTGTGTGTCCATTCTCTTTTGGGCTCTTAAAAAAAACCCTGATAAAAATGTCCTCTTTTGGGGTTAGAAGGTTAGGAATATTCCTAGTTAGTAGCAATTATCATGGCTTAAACAGTTAGGTAAAGGTAAAGGTTTCCCTTGCTTGAAAGCCAGTCAAATCCGACTCCAGGGGTGCAGTGCTCATCTCCGTTTCCAAACCGAAGAGCCAGTGCTGTCCGAAGACATTTTCGTGGCCATGTGACTGGCATGACTAAACACCAAGGCGCATGGAACACTGTTGCCTTCCCACCGAAGTGGTACCTATTTATCTACTTGCAATGTCTTGCTTGCTTTCGAACTGCTAGGTTGGCATGAGCTGGGACCAGAGACGGAAGCTCACTCCGTCATGTGGCACTCGGGTCTCAAACTGCTGAACTACTGACCTTGCAGCCTGCAATTCAGCGTCTTAACTACTTGAGCCACCGCAGCTCCTAGTTTAAACAGTAGGGGTATTTAAAATGAGATTTGTCATAGTGATCACTTATTTGAAGTAGTCAGTCGGGAAATATGTCCTCTTATTTGTTCTCAAAATACTATAACCCTAGTAGAAAAAGTAAACATTGAAAATAGAAAACGCAAAACATACAGTAAAGAAAAGAAAGTGTGTTATTTTTTTTGACAGAAACAACCTCAGGCAGTCATCAAAGGGGCATATGGATACAGAAGTAAATGTTAAAACATTCTTGTTTTTAGAAGTGAAAGACTATTTGCACTGTCTCTTGCTTCAAACTACGGAGGAAGACTACAAGAGAGTTCTGTCAGATAGAGAGGCTAGGACAATAAATATCCTTTCCTTCCCTCTCTGATGCTATCCCTTTGTAGATTGTTAGTACTCTTAGGGGAAGTTTCCTTACTTCTTGTCTAATAGGCTCTCTCTACACACAATGCCTTGACTCTCCATCTTGGCAACGTGAGAGCAGGAGGCTTGTCCTGCATTTCCATCCATCTAGAT